AACTTCTCCGCACCCCCCCCCCCCCCAAAAAATCCCAAAATCCCAAAATACATGGACTGACATCTTTCAAGTTGACTTTAGCTCTGGTCTGAAATATTGCTCAGAAAATTACTTATTTGGTTGGAGAAATGTTTTGTATAACATGTACCAACTAAGCAAGTAATTCACAGTGAAAATCTGAAAATGAAGTGTCATCCATTTTGGAAAAATAGACTGTGTGTGCTGAACAATTTATTTTTCAACATAATTAGAGTTAAAGAGGGAAGGGAGCAAAATAACTTCTCCGCACCCCCCCCCCCCCCAAAAAATCCCAAAATCCCAAAATACATGGACTGACATCTTTCAAGTTGACTTTAGCTCTGGTCTGAAATATTGCTCAGAAAATTACTTATGGAGAAATGTTTTGTATAACATGTACCAACTAAGCAAGTAATTCACAGTGAAAATCTGAAAATGAAATGTCATCCATTTCGGAAAAATAGACTGTGTGTGCTGTACAATTTATTTTTTAACATAATTAGAGTTAAAGAGGGAAGGGAGCAAAATGTGTGCGCAAATTCAAATTAGGTTTGATCAGTGGAGAAGTTGGAACCTTTATGAAGTCCTCCAAAGGTCATTCCATATTTATCCCCCCCCCCAAAAAAAACTTTCAGGTTGGACATGCGCATCCACTTACAGAAGGTCAAAGTGTAACGCTTGTCATGCATTTGAGGTCAATATTCCAAATTTCACCCGAGAGCCCATCATCCCCAACTTTTCATTCTGCGTCATCTATCGGAAATAGTTGGGACACTCGTGAGCCACCAGGTTCCAAGCGTCCCCGAAAGCCTTCACCACCCTCTCATCCAGAGGACCTTCCTCCGCGGCAGCCAGATTCTGTCTGAGCTTGTACATCCAGCGCATGGCTGCAGACAACAGAGTGGGCGGCGTCGGGCCGTATGCCCCCTCCAAGGCCTTTTGGACCACTTCTAGGGCTTGGAAGTGACTCTGCTTCCAGTACCTACACACAATGCAAATTCAATTCATTCCTAATTAGAATCCAATATTTCCTCTTAAAGTAGCAATGGTTAATTTTTGCCACAAGTGTGTCTCTATCTATCTATCAAGAGAGAGAGAAACACACACTTGTGAATGATGGGTTTAAAAACACATTTATTCCAAATACGGTAATGTCGTTTTAAAAAAATATTGTGACTTGGGTTGCCACAGGGAGTGAGTCACACGATTTACAGTTTTTTTAATATTGCAAACAAATTGAAGGAACAAAAATGTCATCTTTACTAGTACTAGTAAATGGGGGAGGGGGGAATACAACTTCCCTATAAAATTACAAGTAAATATTTTTGTGTTGCCACGAAATGTAAATCAAAAATATGAATTAAGAAAACCAAAAATAAGAATAATCAAAATTTAATAATCCATAAAATGCAGAAAATTGATTCGAAGATTAATAAAGAAAAAAGGTGCAAATAAAGGTCTCTAGTAAATTGTTAAAAATAATTAACAGTAAAATATTTGAAAAATATAATACTATAAATATAAACACTGGTGGTAAGACAAAAATACAAAAAAAGGCCCCCCAATAAATGTCTTATGCTCTGTGGTTGAGTCGATATTTTTCCTTGTTTTCCAAAAATAAAGATGCAACAGCTCCCATACTGAAGAACATCAATATATATTTATAAATTTTTGGGGTGGGGCAGAGTCAAATTAATGAAACAAGTTAATGTTTGGGAATGATGACATCCAAAAGTGCTTGAAATGTACCTGTCTCTGTACGCTGCAGCCCAATTGTTACCAAAGAATCTTCCTGCAGGCTGAGATGTATCTTTGTCTTCATAGTGATATTTGCCAGTTAAAAGGCCACCTAGGACAGAGAATCCAAACTCTAGTTCCATTATGTCTTTCCAAGTCATTTCGGAGAAAAAAAAAACCTTTTTGATGGGTACAAAAGTGAGAGAATACGAAAATGTTAATTCATTTTTATTGGACCACAGATATGAAAAGGTAATGCCAGATTCCATAAAACAAAAAAACTAAAGCACCTGCGAGAGGGTTGTACGCGTAGAACTTCATCCCAAAGTACCTCAAGCATGGCAGCAACTCCGTCTCAACTTGTCTGGTTGTCGCGTTGTACATCCCCTTTGAAACACAGGCCAGAGGTTATTTGAACCCTTTCATTGTTAAAATAACACAGCATGCTGACATTCAGGAAATCTTTTAAGCCTTGGGTTAAAATAAACAAGAAAAGGCCAGTGTAAAATATGCAATTTAATGACGATACAATGTCACAGGCTTGAATTGCGTAACTTAAGCCAGCTCTTAAATTTGCCGGTACATCCAACCAGTCTCACAACTGCAGATTATATGTAACCACAAAAATCTTTTGAAAAAATAGGAGCAACAACAAAAAAAAACGGTTGCATTCAACACAGTCAAAATAACTTGGAAAAAAAAAAGCCTGCCTCCTCACCCCATCGACAAAACCAATTGAATTACCTGATACACTGTGGGAACAATCCAGTTATGCTGCCTGCACAGGCACACGATTTCAGCCACTTCCCAGGATGCGTAATTGGACAGTCCAAACTCCTTGAATTTCCCCTGAGAGAGACATTTTGAAACCAATTATGAGGTGCACGGGGACCTGTCATAATGAGTCTGAACTGAATAAAAAGGTGTTCTCTTGCCTCTTTGTGGAGCTCGTCGCAAGCCCGGAGCGTGTCCGCGATTGGATTGAGGTGATCGGGGGCGTGCAGGTAGAAGAGGTCCACGCAGTCGGTCCGCAGTCGCTCCAGAGAGGTCTCCAGTTGAGAGCGCACGCTTTCCGGTTTCAACGTTTTGCCGTCCCACGGGTTTGCCTTGGTGGCAATGCTGACTGGATCCAGAGAAGGAAACGACACAAGTCGATCACTTCGTAACATTTCAGTCCTCCATTTTGTTTGTTTGAATGAATAGTATTTTTCCAACAGAAATTCGCAGCAGTGTATTCCGTTTCGACAAATATCTACAGTACTGCATATTTTTAAATGACAGCACCTATTAGACTACTGTATATTAAGTATGCGCGTTTATCACGAAAGGGAAATGTTGCTACTCCCATTAGCTACCTCCAGTTGTATTTTACATTTTACTCATACAGGCTGCCTAATATAAAGAAGCCTCCTCGCTCATCCGCATCGTAAAAGAGTTGAGAGAGCGAAGATTGCGACAGACAGGTTTGCGATTGTGGCACCTCCAAATAACAACTTCAAATAGAAGTGTAACGAGTGTAAATTATTTGGCACTGTTATTCCTCACTGGTCATGAATCAAGAGTGTCGTTTCCTGATGAGGAGTCACGCGCGTACCCAACAACTTTAGCCCGGACAAGCCCATAAATAACGATGCAAATGTAATTCTTTTCCATTAGATAAATCCAATGTATGAAACAGAGGAATCCCTCATGCTTACATGGGCCATTCAACCAAATTAGTGCCATTTCCGTCCCCCGGGCAATGACATGAAAATACATGACCTGTTTTGGGGAGGTTCATGCCCCCCATGATGGCCTCTGACTTTCCGTCCATGTACATATGTGCAGTGTCGAGCTGTTTGTGTCCGCGGTCCAGAAAGATCTTGGCCATCTCCAGACTCTGCTCGGCGTCCGCCCGGCCTCCAAAGGCCATGGTGCCCAGCAAGGTAACCGGTCGCTTCGCAGACATGTTTCGCTTCGAGACAATTTTAAAGGAAAGCTTGCCGCACAGCGCTCTCGCTATAAAATGTGAATTGCCTGGCGAGAGGCGTCGCGCTGTTATTACGCATTGCATGGTACTAAAGTTCAAAGTTCGGGCGGGATCTCTCCCGACGTGGTGAGGGCGCTGTTGGAAAGGCTTTGACGTGAGTAACTCCGCCTCCATTCGTGCAGACAGAAAGCTGTTGTACCCCCAAAGTCACTCTAGTGGGAGCCAAATATCTTTTAATTTAGCATAAGTTACCTGCCACGTTTCTCGGGATTCATGTGGGGAAAATCCATCCATCCATTCATTTTCCGATCCGCTTTATCCTCACAAGGGTCGCGGGTGGTGCTGGAGCCTCTCCCAGCAGATTTCGGGAAGTAGGCATGGGACACCCTGAACCGGTTGCCAGCCAATCGCAGGGCACACAGAGACAAACAACCATTCGCACTCTCACTCACACCTCGGGACAATTTAGAGTGTTACATCAGCCTGCTATACTTGTTTTTGGAATGTGGAAGGAAACCGGAGTGCCCGGGGAGGACATGCAAACTCCACACAGGCAGGCCAGAGCCGGGATCGACCCCACGACCTCTGCACTGTGAGATCGACGCTCTAACTACTGGGTCACCGGGGAAAATCGCCCTCCAGAATTTATACATAGAAAATTATAATGAAAAATTATATCATCAAAAAGATGCAAATAAACATTCGATATGCGTTTTCCACGAAAAATCGGAGACAAAATGGGGAGGGAACCCCTTTAAAAATAAAATACTGAAATACCTTTGAGTGTAGTGGACTCAACTGAGCTGGCGTTACATTTTTGATTTGGCCATCAGATGGAGCTCCTCTTTCTGGTTCAGCAAAGTGTTTACCATTTTGTGCAAGGGTGTCTTGCTCCCTAAATGGTAGTGTATGTTAAAAGATGTCTCCGTATGGCTCTTTCATACACTGTTTCTTTTCTCCTAAGCGTCGACATTCTGTATTAAATTAATTTAATCAAGAAAGGGTTCAAATAACTTAAGATCTGTGTCTCACAGGGGATGTACAATGCTATAGCCAGACAAAATGCGGCGGTGTTGCGACCATACTTGAGGTACTTTGGGATGAAGTTCCACACACAGAACCCTCTCGCGGGTGCTTTACATTTTTTGTTTTTATGGAATCTGACATTACCTTTGCACATTTATGGTACAATCAAAATGTATTAACTTCACGTTACATGTCTGTAGTTTTTTGTTTTGTTTTTTACGGAGTCTGACATTGCATGAAAAAGTTGACTGTATGACAGTCGGCCATTTTGATTTGAAGCAACGATATTGTGCAAAGTACAAATTGCTGACCTGTGATGAACAATTACGAGGTAAAATGCCCAATGAGCTCCAAGTAGAAGCAGGCATCCTTGCGGTTGGACCTAATTTTTCTTTGCAAATTGCCACCTAACCGCCCCTCATGCACGTTACAGTCCTTTCGTTCCTATTTGCTAGATCTCTGATGGAAAGTCACCAACAGTTTTTTGACAATCAGGGAAGCAGTGGACTGATCATTTCAATCTCAAGTGGGGCAACCTGTGACTGTCGAAGCATTTGATTCAGCCTCCATACCATTTTCAAACACATAGAACTAAAAAAAAAACAAAACACTTTATGACAAATTTCTCCCATGGAGTGAAGCCACAATTACAGTAAGTAAAATATTTCCATGAAAACCAATCAAATGAGAAAATATGGAGGAAACCGAGTGCTTTCAGTTTGTACAAATAGCAGTCATTAGATATCATGTATCCTAATTTGAACGTCATCCTTGTAGCCGACGCTGCGTCCTCCTCCAAGGACCGTTCAGCAGTGACCTGCCACTGTTAGGGGGTCACGAGCACACATGTGAGCAATGAGACCTTTGTTTACAAGAACAGCGGTGGCCGCCGACCTCTTGACCACGCATTCAGCTGTTTAACCCCAACACACAAACCATTAGAGGACTTCACGGGATCCTCGGAATCCAACGCAACTGATAACATCACTTCAAGTCTGATGTGTGTGAACATGTTCTTGTTTTTTGTTGTTTCAAAATAGCCTCTGAAAATACACTTAAAAGTCACTTATATTTTTAAACGCCATTTCAGATGAGTTTGAATACTGCATATTGCCACCTTTGACGCCTGCTTACCGAGGACTGAGTGGCACTGCATTTGTTTTCAGAATAACTAGTGACTGGAGTGCAAGTGAGTAACATATCCTTACGTTTATGCAATACTATTGTACATTCCATGTGGGTAACTTGTTGTCGTGATTATGTTCTTGTGTGTCTCCAGCAGGTGGCAGAGGAGGGCCTTCCCTCCAGCGTGCACACCTGCTGCCATGTATACAGGGACTGCCTAATGCTCAAGGCTCTGTTGTATTATTGACCTTGTTTGCTGCTCATGCTCAGGTGTTGTTCTCGAGATCGTTTGGTCTTGTCATTTTGTTTTGCTCTCTCGTTCCTCGTATTAATATTATTTTGTCTTTGATGTTGCTCTTGTTTTGTTCTCGTGAACCTGGACTCTTGTCGTTTCATTTAGATTCTCGGCTTTATGTTACTTTGCTTTTTGCAAGTGCTTTTTGTGTGCCCCATGTTTTTCCTGGCTCCTTGTGACCACCGATTTCTGTTTATACTCCGTCGGTGCGCTCTTTCTAGTAAATAAATAGTTTTGTTGCAGATTTTGTTGGTTTCTACGTTTGTGGGATCCAATCACCAGTCAGTTCATCCATGAACTGTCAGATGTTACGCTTCTGTACTGTTCTGAAAAACTCAGAATACAAATGTGTCATTTTTTACTTGGCTGCCCACGGCCCATCCAAAATAGATCTGCAATAGAGTTTTGTTTGGGTCCCGACCCATAAATTTGAGAATCACTCATTTATATTTGCCCGATATCAGTGGTTCTTAACCTGGGTTAGATCGAACCCTAGGGGTTCGGTGAATCGGTCTAAGGGGTTTGACGAGCCTCTGCCACACCTGACTCAACATGTCAATTAGTTATGACACGCCCGCTTGGCCATCACTGGCTGCAGATGATCACATGACATCGCTTGTCCAATCAATGCTGCGTGAAAATTTAGTTCGCTCAGGAGTCACGGTAAAAAAAGATGATACTTAGGCCATGTAATTGTATTTACTTTTTTTCTATTTTTAACAAATGTGTTTTTTTTTAATGTCTTGAACTTGTAAAAAATATTTTTTTTATTTCTCATGAATGAAGGGTTTGGTGAACGTGCATATGAACTGGTTGGGTTCGGTCCCTCTAACAAGGTTAAGAACCACTGCTCTATATTTTCGTATGTTTTTACTTTTAAGTAAGGGTAAACTAAATCTTCAATCTTCAAAAGCAGTTTAATAGGTAAATAAACTAAAAACACATGAAGTGTTTGCAGAATATTGTGTGCGCAAGCTTGGAGTGTATCCGTGTGCCGAGGGCTTCGAACATCGCGCGCGCGCACATTACGTGAATGGAGGGAGCCTCCTCCAGGTCTCTTTTTGTGTCGCCCCCCCCAGTGAAAACATCTGCAGGGAGCAAGTGTGGATGAGCTTCTGTTTTTCTGGGTGATTTCTGGCAGCGTGTCACGCGCGCACACACAAGGGGAGCGAGAGAGTTGATCCGTGCCCGTATTGGCTGTGTCATCTTTGGAATGAGTGGCTCATTTCCACGCAGATCATCACTTCTCACGTGCCTTTTAACTATTGATATTTTGAATCTATATTTTTGTAGCGTTAATTGGTGATTTTTACACTCATGAGCGCACATGCGTGAGAATCGCGTATTTAAAACCCCAAAGAGCCAGAGGATTATGGAGAGTGTGTTTTTATTACTTTTGCTCTCAGTGTTTGTTCGAGGATCTCCCGTCTACCGGTATGCTAACTCCAACAGTCTTCAGCCGTATATGTGAGTAACCGGTGCACTTCTACTTGATGCTCTTCTGACGGTTTTGCACGATATGCAACAGGTTCGTGTCAGAGTGGCGAGTTCTTGGGAACGCACTCTTAAGTGACACGATTGCACTTTGCCTCTTCAATCACGTGAGATTTTGATGGGAAGAGTCAACAAATCCGCCGAATGTCAAAATAAAGAGTGAAAATTTGGTGATGATGATAACGGCGATGGGTCGGTTATTGCTTGCTCTCTCCCAAGCTGTGTTTTAGGGTGCAGATGAAAATGATGTTGATGTGTTTTGTTGCACCCTTTAAGTTAATTTGTAGTCCGTATTTCGGCATGTTTTCATTCAAATCAAACTTTATTGTGGAAGTCAACTTCCAAACAATTGCCCACGTAGGAAACAATGGAGATAAATTAAGAAATATCATTTTGTGCTATGTATTAAAACAGAGACTATGATTTGACAGTAATCTTGCTAAATAAAAAAAAATCATTTTGTCCTCCGAATTAGAGGTCGCCACCGTGCCTGAAGAAAAAAACACCAATGGGAGACAGAAGGCGTGAGTTAGAGTTGCGGGTCATTCTTGGCACACTTATCACGGGCACTCCCTGGGGCCTGGCATCAAAACAAACAAACAAATGAAAACAATTACAAATTGTTACCAGCTAGTGTTATAGTAACACACCACTACAATTAGGAGCTTTTCAAGCGTAACAAGTCTGTGCAAGACCGTGGGAGTTCACTGAGGTTTTTTTTTCTTCCAATATTGATATAAACTATTCTTCAATATTGATATAAAAGGCTTAATAAAACAAATACATCAGTAAAATGCAAAATTTTGCAAAACTGAACATTTTTTCACAGGTATGTTATTGCTTCTTATGATTTTATTAACTTCGAACAATAACATTACATGAGAATGAATTAAAACAAACTATTGAACATGCACGTTTAAACTTTTTTTTTTTCTGAAGACTCTAGTTTGTCCAGATACTGTACTGCATGTGTGAATCTTTGTCTATGTGTGCCCTGTGATTGACCATTTCCTGTTCTATGGCTATCATCGCATTCGCCAATCAATGAGATGCTTTTCTGTGGTCACGTAGAGGAGGGGGGAGAAGACATTTGATGATCGCAATGGCTGACCTCCAAATTGTATCATTTTTGGTCTTCACCCTCTTGGATACACATTTCGGAGTCCTTAACCCCCCCCCCCCTCCGCCCCCAACTAAATCCTCCTTATTGGGCTTTGCTGCTATTTTTAAAAGACTTGACTCTTACTTT